CCTCCTCACTGATGTTCGCCATCACCATCGTGCTGCCTCTGCCCCCATGGCCTTGTTTTGTGCCTGGGGAAGGAAATGGCCACATACTGAGCATCGGGAGTGTTGACATGGGGGCACTGGGCAGGACTGGTGGCCCTGGGAGGCTGTTGGGGGCCGCAGAAAGCATTGGGGTGGCTGCAGGCTGCCTTGGGAGGCACGGATTTTGGGATTCCACACAATGCTGGGAGGCAATGGGAGCTTATTGGGGAACTGCGAAGAGCACCAGGGGGCACTGGAGAGCTTTGGACAGCACTTGTGGGTTTGGGGAGGTTCAGGCACAAGGCGGCACAATTTAACCTCATTAACTTCCCATCTCACCCAAGGCATCGATCGATCCGTTTTTTCCATGGGGGGAAGCCTTTCCTTTTGGGGCTGACATCCCCCAGCTCCGCCCAGGGCGCTACGTTTGACGCGTCCCCACCCTGATGCCATCGCTCAGTGACACATTTGTCACCCACAGACTCACCGTGGGTCCTGAGGAGGGGCGGGGGGGGGGGGGGGGGGGGCGCCGTTACTGGGCATCACAGGAGGAGAAACTGAAGCACAGGGCGGGCCAAGAGCTGCAGGGCAGAAGTTTTGGTAGAACTCACAGCAGGAGGGACGGGGATGGCTTTCGCTCTGAGCGCTGCTGAGTCAAAGCTGAGCGTCCCCTTCCTGGAACGAAAGGGTTAATGTCACCCTCATCTGTCCCCCCCTCACCCCCCCGGCTCGGCCCCCTCCGTTCCCCCGTCCAGCTTTTGGGGAGCCTCACCCCCCCCACTTCCTCTCACCCTCTCACCCTGCAAATGGGGAGAGGAGCAAAGGGTCCCCATGCCCCCATCTACCCCCCTTCCCTTCCAAGCTTCTGCTTTTTTGCCTTTTTGGCCCCAAATGAGTCACCAGGGGATTTTTTTTTTTTCGAGGCTCTCTCTCTGCTGAGCAGATTGGGGGTTCTCCGATGGGATGTTGAGGGGTTGGGCACCCATGGGTGCTACAGCAGCACCCAGTCAAGCTGCTGTCCCCACTGTCCCCTATTTACAGGTCGTTCCAGATGGACGGGGACAGGGATGGACCCTAAAAAGTGGTCCCCATCAGCAGAGCGATGCTGGGCGCTCAGGATGATCTCAAGATCTTGGGGGAGGGGGGGGGGGACAGCAGTGGCTCTATTTGTCCCAAAGAGTCACCAGGGATGGGACAGGACTGCAGGGACAAGGAACAGAGCTGGGGATAAATCCTAGGGATGCGTGGGGGGTGGAAAGGAACAGAGACCCACCAGCATCAGGACAGGGGGACACGACAGCAGCAATGCCCCCAAAGCCCCGGGGGGGTCTGGAAAACCCAACACAGTCATTCAGCGCTGTGCCCCAAAACTCCCTTAGGTTCCGGTAAGGAAAGAGTCAATGGCACACGCACGAGAGCAGCTACACACGCCACTTCCCTGAGTGGGGATGAGTCATCCTCAGCCTTCATCCCCAGCCCTGTAACACCGCACAGCACCGCGCTGTTCCTCCCAGCACCTCCCGAAGCGGTGAGTTTGGGGTCGGTGGGGTCACAGGGCACAATTTGTCCCTTCATCCCGGCGGCATCTCGGTGACATCCCGCAGGGATGGGCACGGTGAGCTCAGGGGGGGTTCCAGCAACGCTACCAGCAGTCCGGAGCGAACCAACACCACGCTGTTATTGGGGGGAGGAGAGGGGAGGGGGGGCAGAGCGGGGAGCGGCTCCGTGCGATTCTTTTTGGGCTTTTTTTTGGGGGGTGGGGGGGGTTGAGGTGATGTCAGGCGTTCGGAGCGCGGTTCGGATGACTTCACGCCTTACTCAGCGCCGGGCTGGCAGAGTTCCCGTGCTATTCCCGGCCGTGACGCGCAGCGCTGCGCCGTGCCGGGACGTGGCCGGGTGGGAATTGGGGGAATTTGGAAATTGAGGCGTTGAGGGCTGAGCGGCGGAGACGCGGCTGTTGTCTGCGTATCCTACAGGACGGGAGTTTGCTATGCCCCACACAGACCCGTTGCTGCCCGCTTCAGTGCACCGCTGCTTTCTATTGCTTGACCCCAAGTGAGCGCTTTTTGCCCCCAAAAACCCCCGGACTGCGCGCTGGTTTCCTGCTTTTTTCGTAGAAGGGGAGGAAATCGCGTCAGCCCCGCAGATTGCAGTGCCGGGAACCGGGCGCGAGCCGGGGAACCACAGCCGGGCTTCACACCATGCGTGTGCCTCCATCTAGCTGCGGCTCACACCTGTGCTCGTGCCCACGTAGGCACACAGCCCACGGACACGCGCGCCCAGCGCAGCACAACACAAACAGCCCCACGGTGTGCAACGCACCCGGGGCACGCACACAAACACGCGTGCACGTGATTGCGCACACGAGCCATGAACGCGCACTCGCTGTCATACACGCACGTGTCCCAAACACCCCCACTCGCCCCCCCTCCCCCCCGCACACGCTTGCATTCACACGCAGCGCCGATCAACCGCACGCACGTGGGCGGCGGCACTACAGCACCCAGCATGCCTTTCGCTAAGGGGCGGGGCGAACGCAGCGCAGCCCAATAGGAGAAGGGGGCGTGGCGGCGGCGACCAATAGGCTGCGGGGGGCGTGGTGGCGGGTGCAGAGGGACAGTCACATGGCGCGGCAGCGGGTGAGCGGCACCGGGCACGGGAAAGGGGGGGGGAAAAAACGGGGGGGGGGGGAAGGGAAAAGGGAAACAGGACCCCCAGGGTTGCTCCCTTCTTTCTCAGCTTTTTGTGGAGACACGGCTCTTGTTTTTATTTTCTTTAAAGCCTTTTGAGCGGCTTTTTCCCCCAAAGTTGGAACGGGCAGGGAGCGGCAAAGCGGAGGGGGGGGGGGGGGGAAGCCATTTGGGTGAGGCGCCCCCCAGTTTGGGGGAGAGCATCCCCAATTTGGGGGGGTCCTGATGGCTGGCGCAAGCCCCCCATCCTTTGAAGAAGAAGGGGCCGGGGGGTGGGGGGAGGAGTACTTCCCATCTTTGGGGAAAAAAGAGCCAATTTTGGGTGCCCACGTGGCTGCCAATAGCATTTTTGGGTTTCTCACACTGCTCCCCCCCCCTCCCGGGGGTTTATTTAAAAGAGGCTGGAAATAGTCGAGCCGTTAAAGCGGCGGCCGTCAGCGAGCGGTTCAAAAGAATAGAAAGAAGAAGAAAAAGGAGTGGGGAGGGGAGCAGCTGCTTTGCCCAAAAATAGCAACAAGTTTTATAACTCCGGAAAATGTAGAACAAACAAACGAGAAACATTTTTAGCTGAGAAAGGAGGCGGAGGGGGGGGGGGTTAGAGCAAGAATTTCTGCCCTTCTGTTTTCCTGGAAGCCGTTCCTCGTGTTCTCGCACGGCTCCGGAGCTTTGACCAACTTGGCCGCCTGCCCAGGCTGCTGAATAATGAAGGGAGAGCTGCACAAATGCCTCCAGGGTGGACG